GGTTTGAAAGGTCTAAGAAGACAGGAATCCATCTTCAAGCTTTATTGAAACAGCCCAACAAGGTTATTTCGTAAGTTCAACACAAAATATTAGTACTTTGTTTGCTACCCGAAGAGAAGCTGAGGTCATCATATATTACCCCGGTTCTAATTAAAAATTATTTATATTTATTGAAGTGTAACGTGCAGTTCAATTTGTAATGTCATACCAAAGCTAGCTCCATGAGAAACTCTGGTTACATGCTTCTAAAATACATTCGAATTTTATCATTTTTATTAAATTTTAATTTTTATCTTGAAAGAAACAAGGTAAAAAAAAATCAATATTGTAACTGTCAGTTCGTAAAAATAGTATTTTAATATAAGAAATAAAAAAATAAAATACCATAATCTGAAATTTTCCTTTCCACTGACTATTTGCAAATGGTGGATGAGTTTTATATTATGCTTATTGTCTTGGAAGTTTTAAAAATGTTTAAATTTAGAGAAAATCGAAGGGTCTTGTTGTTAGCTTATTAATGATAAATCTTGTGCTCATTTTTTTAAGGAAACTTGAGATTGATGAGTCCGATATTATTTTGACTAACTCAGTTTAAAAGGAAATTTTAACCCTATCGCCATCGAAATGATCAGAAAACTGTAATAATCTTGTTATTGTTACCAAATAATCGCCCCCCAAAGTCTTCTCTCATTTATAGCATATTTAATACAAATCTGAGATTAAAAAAGAATCTCACATTGAAAATTTTATCAGTGAAAAGGACGCTATGAATACTTTGCAAATTTTGTATATATAAAGTACCGATATTCTGGTTTGAGTCCTTATTATCAATGAAATTTTTAATGGGAGATTTTTTTCACCTCAGTTTTTCCTAAAAATTTTGATTTAAGAAGGCAAATATACTCATTCTATAAGGAAGCTGGGGGAGTTACAAGTATTTTAAATTACATTATGATTAATTTTATCCATGAATTTTATAAAATAACATGAAAATCCCTAATCCATAGTAGAAATTAGATGTCTGGTAAGTAAGTATTATGAGCCCCATATATTAAGAGAGATGTAAACAGGTTTAGTGCAAAAGTACTCACTTCCACAATTAAAATTAGCACATTTATATATTTCAAGGAAAATAAAATTTGAATCTTTCTAAGATTCATGGTCAACATTTGCCAACATGTGTCTCTATATGGATTGAGTATTTTTTTTCCTCACCATTTTCAAGTGTTAATGGACAAAATTGAACCATGGTATAATACTTTATAGATATTTTTGCCACACCAGAGATAACATGTAGGATTTTTGCAACATTATTTCAAATTAATAAACAACATATTACATTATAGTAGTATATATAGTTTAATTAAGATCCACTCCTTAATTTGTACAATACTTTATGGGTGTATTTACTCGTTCAAATTTATAGACTTTTTACAAGAATCAAAACAAGTCAGAGAGAAAAATATTTGGAATGGGTCAATCAATGATATTTTTTTGGTTAGTTGCAGTATCTTCGTTAGTAGTGAAAACTTAGGAGCTAGTTTCACATTTAATATGGTCTTAAATATAAAATTTTAATTTACTTTATTTTTAATATTTATCTATTTTAATGTGCATTCAAGTAATCCTTATAGTAGTTGCATATGTTATGTAGTTATTATCAATGAATAATTAAACACACATTATTAATAAAGATGTTTTAGACAAGACAACATCTATTTACTATAATAACAAACTTAATTAACTTTTTTGATCTCCCCAGATTAGTTAATTAGGTCTTATATTAAGGACCTGAGGTGGTATATATATATATATTGAAGGCCATTGGGAATTCAAAAACTGAAAAAAAAAATTGTACATGATTAAAAGATTTGCAAACGAGTTGAAAATATATAAACAAAGAGCAAAAACTACATGCTCAAAATAAAAAAAATAAAAGTAAACGTAATTCTGGCAAGTGTTTCAAAATTAAAGCAACATCTAGAAGGAGAGGAGGCCCTACGCTGCGGTCGTCCATGGCTCGCTAGTCACTATCGTGTTGCATCAACGATTTGGACTCGCGTGAAGAACGGAGATTACGATCAGGTCGTCGATCTACAAGCTCCTTCCTTCGTCGATCCTTGTACGTCATTATACCGATGAAATTAACTTGATGCGCTCCAAAAATAATCAGGATTCCAAGTCATCTATATGTAGTACCTTGCTACCTAGCTTTAACTCATTCCTGAATATACCGATCAGAAATTAAAGATGGGTTTGACAGCAATAATGCATTTGAAACTGGCATTACTGATCTGCACGGCGGCGGTCACGGCGGTGGCCCAAACAAAACCAGGTTGCAACACCACTTGTGGGAACGTGAGCATCCCCTATCCCTTTGGCACTAGCGAGAACTGTTACATAGACGAAACGTTCTTCCTAAACTGCACAACCACCACGTCCCCATCATCTGGAAAACCCACGACAAGTTTGATTTACGGCACTAATATACCAGTTCTCAACATCTCCATTGATCCTCCTGAATTAACCGTCTCAGCAAACGTTTCCAAACATTGCTATGATTCCAACTTCACCTTTTACTGGAACTCAATGTGGTTCTATAACAAGTTTTCTATGTCAAACACCAAGAACAGGTTCACTGTGGTGGGCTGTGACACTTTCGCTTTCATCAGGGACCTGAGAAGCAGGTTCATGACTGGCTGCGTGTTGAGTTGCAGTAACAAGACGAGTTTTGAAGACGGGGCATGTTCTGGTGTGGGATGCTGCCAGACCAATTTCCCCAAAGCCATCTGGAGCTATAATATCACTTTATACAGTTCTGAGAACTACACGGACGTGCTTGATTTTAACCCTTGTGGCTATGCGTTTATTGCCAAGGAAGGATCCTTCAACTTCTCGTATCGAGACCTGCTTGATCTCGGCAACAGAACAGCGTTTCCCGTCGTTGTGGATTGGGTTGTTTCCAATCAGACATGTGATGAGGCCCAGAAAGATGAAAGCAGATTTGCCTGCAAGCAAAACAGTAGATGCAAAGACTCAGAAAGTGGTATTGGGCATTACTGCGTTTGTAAAGAAGGTTTCAGAGGCAACCCCTACCTCTCTCACCATGATACAGCCTGCAAAGGTAAGCCTATCAGCCTTTGCAGTAATTCTCCAAAACAAAGTGTTTGATGAGGTTCTCACTCGTCTGCTTTTTATTGCCAAAGATATGTATAATAATATTTTGATTTATCTTTATATATATAAAGCTGTACTTAGATATATATATATATATATATATATGAGATATGTATAATAATGAGCTTGAGGATTGAATTTGCAGATATTAATGAGTGCGACGGGAACCATCGCTGCAGTAGGAGATGCCACAATGTGGAGGGAAATTATACGTGCTCTTGTCCGCCGGGTTATAGAGGTGACGGCTATATTGATGGATCAGGTTGCAAATTTCCTCTCATGGAAATTTCATTGGGTAAGAATACTAATTAACCCTTACCTCATGTTTGGATGGGAGGGAAACGTGAGAGGAAAGAAATCCCAGAGGATGGATGTTTTGTTTCTTGTTTTGACGAGAGGGAAAAAAAAAATGAGAGGAAAGAAATCCCAAAAAATATTTTTTAACATATATCATTTGATTTTTGTCTTTCAATTTATTATTTGATTTTTAAAACATTTTTTTAAATGCACAAAATTATTTGTTTTTAATAAAAAATTATTTTTTATTTTAAAATTATTTGATTTTAAAATACAGGTATGAAAATATTTTTTTGCCCGAATGAAAATATATTTTTCAGATATTCTTACATGAAAATATTTGAATAATATTTATTTTGATACAACTTTATTATAAATAATAATAAAGACATAATAGGTATCGTCATTGTGACATTTGTTTATTTTCTTTTCTATACATTTTCTCTCATCCATCCAAATAAGATATGTAATAATACTTTTTATTTTTTTTATTTTTATTCCTTTTATTTCTTTTTTGAAATTTTTCGCTTCATCCAAACGCACCATTGATCTTAATCTCAGCAAATCGTTCCTAGAAATTTTTAACATAGTTTTTTATTTTCATTTACAAATCGTAGTCACATCAAAATGTATTGAATAGACTAGTTATAAATTTTAATTTATTAAACATGGTCTGAAATGAAGCAGTCATACAAGCAGAGCCTCAATAAGTAATAAAATAAATGTACTAGAGAGTGCATAAAAAATAATTTAATATATTTAATTTTTAAATAAATTATATATATAAATATATAACTGATTGTTGAGTTATACCCAATCTAAACCCAAACGTACAACAAGATAGAAAATCAAGGCTACTGAACGGGGGTGATGGGAAATAACAAAGCACTAACATTTAGGGTTCAAAACCATGGTTTATTGACAAACACTCCACTACTTAGTAGCTACACTGGATAATATCTTGAACGACGTTGTTTGCAGGCGTTTCTGTAGCCTTTCTTGTTGTCTTCACATTGATCTCCACATTATGCTGGGGACACAAGCAAAGAGCATTAAAGCGACTTAGAAGAAAGTATTTTGAGCAAAATGGAGGAAATATGCTGCAGCAACTTCATCAACAGCAAGAATACACTGATAGAACCAAGATTTTTACGGAAGATGAGCTTAAAATTGCCACAAATAACTTTGATGAAAGTAGAATTCTTGGTCGTGGAGGACAAGGCACGGTTTACAAGGGTATATTACCGGATAATACACATGTTGCCATAAAAAGGTCCAGAATAGGTGGGGATCCCAGACAAATTAAGGATTTTATCAATGAAGTGGCTGTACTTTCCCAAATCAACCATAGAAATGTGGTTAAACTTCTGGGGTGTTGTCTTGAAACTGAAGTTCCTTTGTTAGTTTACGAGTTTGTGGATAATGGCACCCTCCTTGACCATATAAACCCAACAAAGAATGAGCACTCTCTTTCATGGGAGACCCGATTAAGGATTGCTGCAGAAACAGCCGGGGCCATCTCATATTTACATTATGCTGCTTCTATTCCAATTATCCATCGTGATATTAAATCTGCCAATATACTATTAGATCATAATCATAGAGCGAAAGTTTCTGACTTTGGAGCCTCAAGACTTGTTCCTCTTGATGAAACTCAAATTACTACTGTGGTTCAAGGGACATTAGGATATTTGGATCCAGAATACCTTCTCACAGGTCAGTTGAACGAGAAAAGTGATGTCTATAGCTTTGGAGTTGTGCTTGCAGAACTAATCACTGGAAATAAAGCAGTTGAATTCAATAGGCCAGAAGAGAGAAATTTAGCTATGCACTTTGCATCTTTGATGAAAGAAGACAACTTGTGGAAGATTCTTGACAAGCGAGTGTTGGATGTGAAGAACGCAGAGCAACTAAAGGAAGTTGCTTTCTTGACAAGGAGGTGCATTAGAGTTAATGGAGAGGAAAGACCGACTATGAAAGAAGTAGCGATGGAATTAGAAGGTCTAATTGCTATGAAAAAGCATCCTTGGGTAAAGGGAGAGGATATGATGTCTGAAGAATGTGAATACTTGCTTGATCATGTAGCTGCTGGATATAGGAATGCTAGTGCTAGCACTTCAGCTGGCTTTGACGGTGGATATGGGAATGCTAGTGCCAACACTTTAGCTGGATATGATAGCATACAGAAACAAATAGCTTTTGAGATTGCAGATGGGCGATGATAGTAATAATTTAATGTTGATATTTCTCATGTATGTATTTGAGCTGCTACTACTACTCTTTCCGCTGTTTGCAAGTGTAGGAGTTTCAGGTTACACTGTTTTGAAAGACATGCAAGGGTTTTAAAAATGTCAGAATTTATTTAATACTCCCTCCGTTCCTTATTATAAGAGACGAATAACCGATTTACGTTGATCAAAAAAATAGTTAAAATTAGTTAAGAACAATCAATGTGTAAAAAGTATAATTTTTTTTCCAAAACTGCCCTCATTAATAAGGAGAGAGAGAGTATGAGAGAGAACAATTAAATTATTAAAAGAAAGAGAAGTGGGAGGGAGAGAGAGTGTGAGTGGAGACAATAAATATGGGTTAAAATAAAAATCAACACAAAAAAGTAGAGACAACTTTTAAGTGTCTCTTATATATAGGAACATGCCATAAGCATCAAATGTCTCTTATAATAAAGAACGGAGGGAGTACCTTAGAAGTCTTTTGTTGTTAAGGATAAAAGTAAGTTAACGTTATCAAATCCTGAATTTTTACCAGTTGATAATAATTCCATTCTCTCTCTCTCTGTTTTTTTTTTAAATAGCAGAAAGAAATTATTTCGTTCTCTTGATGCCCTGATAGCCAACCAGAATACAAAATTCTAATCAAAGTTAAAATATCCCAAAAGACAACATCCAAAGTTAAAATCTAATGCGAACGAATAACAACATACTTAAACACTCATGATTCAATGTTGTAGGACATAAAAAAGACGATTAATAAAGAATGATTCATATTACCAACAAGCTGTTGGTTGAGATCGATGGTAAGTGGTCTTACCCTTGTAAGGAAGAGAACATAAATTCAAATCCTAAGAAAGGCACTTGTTAGAAGGGTTTTGACTTTAACGCTCACACCTCGACAGAGATTAGTCTTAAGTCCAAAATGACTTAAGGATACTTTGACTTATACAAAAAAAAAAGGAATGACTGATACTATTGCTTTTAAAAAAATATAAATTACTGAATAATTATTATTTTTCGAGCTTAACAAACATTATAAAAAAAAAAAAGTAGAGATTAAAAGCGACAGCATATGACTAAGTTATATATAGATGGTTGTGGATAAACAAAATAAAATGAAAAATTACATCTAAGGACTCATACATGACAGAAGTTATATTAAGATTTAGTCGTGGGCTTGAGGTTGCTTTCATGGCATTACATTGAGTTGTACTCTAATATTGCACATATATATATATAATTATATATTTGATAGTCAGTCATCTTTTATTAGAGAGTCTTTGGTTATTAAGGATAAATCTGGGGATCATTTTTTATTTTTTATTTTAAAGCAAACTTGAGGTTGACTAGGAGCTTATTTTGACTTGGTGTTAAATAAAATCGCGATAACTCAGTTTAAAAAAAAATTCAATTCTAACACCTATCACGATGGAAATGATAAGAAAATTTTTACGAGTATAATCTTATCATTCTCCCAAGAGCCTAAAATGATCAGATTATTAAACACAATGGGGAGCGAGCACGTATAGAGAGAGACAGAACATTTGATGTTACTCTCCCAGTCCTAAATATAAGACTCCTATACATACTAGTATAAGGATCTTATATTTAAGATCGGAGGAGTAATATGTTTTCAGTCGAATTGAAATAATGGAAAGCATGTTGACATCAGCAATCCAAAGTCTTCTCTCATTTATAACATATTTAATACAAAGTTTAGAGTTTTTAGACAAAATTACTCGTAAACTATACTATTCTGTGATAGTTATAGGCATCTTAAAATTTGTTTTCCCAGGTCTTCTCACATTATAGATCGACGACCAATAATGGTCAGCCATGAACATGTGTGTGTAGATCCTTTGGCTTTTGCCTGGGTCCTCCACCTCTCAATATCCTCCTGCGTTAATGATTTGGACGTGCTGTGGAAAAACAAAAATTAAGATCATCAGGTCGTCCATCTACAATGCAAGCTCCTTCCTTCGTCCTTGTGCGTCATTACAGACGAAGCTTCGCGTACTCGAATGATCAGGATTTGAAAGTGTTCTATATATAATAGATATCTAGCTATATATCTAGCTCTTTTTTTTTTTTTGGTCAAAAATATATCTAGCTCTTATTATTTACTGTATAGCCACACCAGAAATCCGGGATATATCGATCAGAGAGATGGGTTTGATGAATGCCTTGCATTTGAAACTGGTATTGCCGATCTGCACGACGGCGGCGGCGGCGGAGGCCCAAACTAAACCTGGTTGCGACAACAAGTGTGGGAACGTGAGCATCCCCTATCCCTTTGGCTCCAGCAAGAACTGCTACATGAATGAGAGATTTTTCGTGAACTGCACAACCACCACGACATCGTCTGGACAAGCCAAAACAAGTTTGATTTACGGTGTTAACAAACCAGTTCTGGACATCTCCGTTGATCCACCTGAATTGACCGTCTCCAATAATGTTTCCAAACACTGCTATAATTCAAAGCATGGGTTGCCGGTGCACCGAATTCAGTTCGGGAACTTTTCAATATCAAACACGAAGAACAGCTTCACAGTGGTGGGCTGTGACACCCACGCTTCCTTCAAGGACCTGAACAGCAGCTTTACAACAGGCTGCATGTTGAGTTGCACGAGCAGGACGAGGTTCGAGGAGGGGGCGTGCTCTGGTGTGGGATGCTGCCAGACCAATTTCCCCGATGCCATCATGAGCTATAGTATCACCTTGACGAGTTCTCGCAACTACACGGACGTGCATAACTTCAACCCTTGCGGCTATGCCTTTGTTGCCAAGGAAGGATCCTTCAACTTCTCATATCGAGACCTGCTTGATCTCAGCAACAAAACACAGTTTCCCCTCGTCCTGGATTGGGCTGTTGCCAATCAGACATGCCATGAAGCCCAGAAAGATCCGAGCAGCTACGCCTGCAAGCAAAACAGTATATGCAAAAGCTCAGAAGGTGGTATGGGTTACTGCTGCGTTTATAAAGAAGGTTTCAGAGGCAACCCCTACCTCTCTCACCCCGATCTTGGCTGCAAAGGTATGCCACAAAGCTACTCCGTTTTCAACTTTCGACCACGTTATTTTTGGTCTATATGTTTTAATTAGATTATGTCGTGCGCATTCAGCTTTGCCTCTTTTGCTGCTGGTTCTCACTCTTTTGCTTTTAATTACCTAAGAAATGACTTTCTTTGGTTGAGATATAACATCAAGTGCAAGTTTGACTTTTATATAGCTATGCTTAGAGGTATGCTGGCGATGGTTATTTGAAGAGTAGAAGGAGAAAAGATAGAGAAGAAAATTGGGCATGTAATCTTCAAGGCGCGTGTAACTCTACTTTCTTTAGGCTTAATTCATCTGTGTTTATTTCAGTCTTAGGAAACAAATTGAGTTGATCGGTAAATTTTCTTTAAAATATAATAAAAACCCTTGAGTATGATTTACACTACCAAAACTTAAGTCGGCACTACAATGACTTTTATAAAATGATAATTTGACTTTATTCTTGTGTTCACTCAAAGATAAAGGTGATGTGTTTAATGTTGTATTTTTTGGATGTTGTTTATATAAAATAACAGTGAGATGTACACATAGATGGCGAAGTGATACCTGGAAGAGATGTCTCATGAAACAACATACTTTTTAAATTTAAAGTCATAATCATGTGGTTGATGAAGCAACATACTTTTAATAATTAAAAGTTATTTAAAATAACTTTTTTCATAAAGAGTCACATCCATGTACTGCGTAGGTTTTTCTTAAACAAAACAATACAACTTTTCATCAACCGGTGGTTTATCACTTCTTCTTCTTTATTTTCAGTTATGACCTGCCATTAGTTGTCTGTAAAAACTAAAGAAACATGACCTTGGTGGTTTGCCCATTCCATACACAACTCTTCATATAAATTCCATAGTCTATAAGCAAGTGACTTTTCCAAAAAAACACATCATGTTCATTTTGAAAATATTCCAACAAAGGGATATGTATAACTATAATGAGCTTAACGATTAATTTTGCAGATATTAATGAGTGCGACGTAAAGAATCGCTGCAGCAGAAGATGCCATAATGTGGAAGGAAATTATACTTGTTCGTGTCCGCCGGGTTATAGAGGCGACGGCTATATCGACGGATCAGGCTGCAATTCCCTCTCATGCAAATTTCATTGGGTAAGAATACTAATTAATTCACCCTTAACGTTCGAATCATCCGACCAAATCAATCACACAAATAATTGATATCCTTAATTTTCAAAGAAATTATATATGGAGTGTGGCTAATGTTTTGAACTTTGTTTGCAGGCATTTCTTTAGCCTTACTAGTTCTATTCACATTTGTCTTCATATTATGCTGGGGACACAAGCAAAGATCACTAAAGCGACTTAGAAGAATGTATTTTGAGCAAAATGGAGGAAATTATATGCTGCAGCAAATTTATCGACAACAAGGACATACTGATAGGACCAAGATTTTTTCCGAAGAGGAGCTCAAAATTGCAACAAACAACTTCGATGAAAGCAGAATCCTTGGTCGTGGAGGCCAAGGTACGGTTTACAAGGGTATATTGTCAGATAACAGGCATGTTGCCATAAAAAAGTCCAGAATTAGTGGAAATCACAGGCAAATAAAGGATTTTATCAATGAAGTGGCTGTACTTTCTCAAATCAACCACAGGAATGTGGTTAAACTTTTCGGATGTTGTCTTGAAACTGAAGTTCCTTTGTTAGTGTATGAGTTTGTAGACAATGGCACCCTTCTTGAACATATAGACCCACTAAAAAACAAGAACTCTCTTTCATGGGAGACCCGATTAAGGATTGCTGCAGAAACAGCCGGGGCCATCTCATATTTACATTATGCTGCTTCTATTCCAATTATTCATCGTGATATTAAATCTGCCAACATACTATTAGATCATAATCATAGAGCGAAAGTTTCTGACTTTGGAGCCTCAAGACTTGTTCCTCTTGATGAAACTCAAATTACTACAGTGGTTCAAGGGACATTAGGGTATTTGGATCCGGAGTACCTCTTCACAGGTCAGTTGAATGAGAAAAGTGATGTCTATAGCTTTGGAGTTGTGCTTGTGGAGCTAATCACTGGAAATAAAGCAGTTGAATTCAATAGGCCAGAAGAGAGAAATTTAGCTATGCACTTTGCAACTTTGATGAAGGAAGACAACTTGTGGAAGATTCTTGACAAGCGAGTGTTGGATGTGAAGAACGCAGAGCAATTAAAGGAAGTTGCTTTCTTGGCAAGGAGGTGCATCAGAGTTAATGGAGAGGAAAGACCGACTATGAAAGAAGTAGCCATGGAATTAGAGGGTCTAATTGTTGTGAAAAAGCATCCTTGGGCAAAGCGAGAGGATATGATGTCTGAAGTATGTGAATATTTGCTTGGTCACGTGGCTAGCAGATATGGGAATGCTCCTGCTGGCACTTCAGCTGGCTATAATGGTGGCTATGGGAATGCTAGTGCCGACACTTTAGCTGGCTATGATAGCATACAGAAACAAATGGAATTTGAGATTGCAGATGGGCGATGATCATTTAATGTTAGTATTTGTCGTGTGTTTTAGCTGCTACTCTTTCCACTCTGTGCCAATGTAGGAGTTTCAGGTAATTACTTTGGTTTGAAAGGACTTGTAAGGATTTTTAAAATGTTCAAATTTGTTCAATATCTTAAAAGTATGTGGTTATTAAGGATTAAAGTAAGTTAACATTATCAAATCCCGAAGTTCTAGATGTTAAAATAATGACTATTACTTTTAAAAAATATTAATTACTGAATAATAATTACTTTTTTGAGTATTACAAGCATCATTTATATATATATATATATATATATAAAAGCTAGCCCTGATAATAATTCTCTGAAGTTCATTCAAGATTTTTGGACACATACGATTGATCAATGTGCTCTATCTGCTTGTTTAAATAGTTAATCTATGTAAGCTCCATACTACAAACTTGATGTGCGTGCAATAATGCATACGAATAATTAAGGCATATATAGAGTTGTTTACAACAAAATAAAAGGAAAAGTTACATCTAAGGACTCATGCATGACAAAAGTTATACTAAGATCATATTCGGTTGGAAGGAATTATTCCTTCAGTCCTAAATATAAGATCTTTTTTTTTTACACTAGAAAAAGAGTCTTATACTTTTAACATGTATGTGTCCATGCATGTATTATTTAACTTGTATATATAGAGGAGAGGAAAAGAAAAAAACAGATATAGATGCATAGAACAGGCAAACAACGGCGTCAATTTATGCAGGGGCCGGACTTCGTCTGAATTTGGTGGTGTTGAAAACAACCCCCAGCTGCTTCATTGCTTTGGTACGTGTCAAATATTAGTGGGTCTCAATCCCTATAAATAGAATCAATACTGTATGTACACTTTTTTTTTTGTCAAATGTATGTACACATATACATGCATGTATATACACTTAATTGATTAAAAATAGTTGCAACGAGTTGAAATTACATAAAGTAAGAAGGAGAACTAGATGCTTAGGATAAAAGATATGTGTGTGTGTATATATATGCATGTATGCCACCATGGGTCCTTAATATAAGAACTAATTTAACTTTCAATTTGATCCTAAATATAAGATTCTAATCCACTTTGTCTTTTATATTTATTCATTTTTTACCGAGGTATCCTTTTAATAATTATACATGTTAAAGGTTTCATCAAATATTAATGTCAATAAGAAGCTTAAAATATATAGAAAATATTTATAAAGAAAGTTTAATGAAAAGAAGTAATTTTATATGCCTAAAATATCTTCAAAGTTTATCTTTTCCTTCACCAGTCTGCTACTCTCGCTCTTTCACACACACTATTCTCTCTTTCGCTTTCTCTCATGCGCCGGGGAAAATTGGATTGTGGGGAGTGTTGAAATAACACTCCCGCACATTTATTAAGGCCCCTCATAAATTCTCTCAACTGCCAATGCCTATTTTCCAACTCTCAACTTTCCTTCTTCTTTTTTATTCTATTTCTGTCCATCGTTTTTGTTGACTCTTTCCTTCTTCTTTATTTTATCTCTTTCCAAATTATTTACTCTAATTAAAAAAAATTTTCAAAATTTCAAAATACGGAATTATTATATTTTAAATTCTAAAAACTCTTTTTAAGTTTAAACCTCAAAACCAACTCATCAAAAATTCAATAATACCTCAATATTTATAAATAAATAATCTAATTAAAACTTTAATGGTATAACTATCATATATATATCCATAAATAATAACTTTTTTAGCTAAAATAATTATTTTAAAACCTCCAGTCACTCAATAAATAAAACTAAACCGATTAAAATCTCAATAATATATTAAACACCTCAAATAAATTATTTAACTTAATTTTAATTGGTGAAAATATGATATAAATCATATATAACAGATTTTTCAACTAGAAAAATTGATCTAAGTACTAAAAACCAACAAATTGATAAAACTAAACTGACTAAAATTAACAATTCATTTACTTCTAAATTTCTATAGTCATTTATTTCCAAAGCTCAAAACTTATTCGATATATAAGTCTCAAAATCTTCTCTAATCACTACGATAATAATGTCAATAGGAAGCTTAAAATATATAGAAAATATTTATAAAGAAATTTTGATGAAAAAAATAATTTTGTGTACCTAAAATATCTTCAAAACTTATCTTTTCCTTCACCGATATGCTGCTCTTACTCTTTCACACACACTATTCTCTCTTTCGCTTTCTCTCATGTGCCGGGGAAAATTGGATTGTGGGGAGTGTTATTTAACGCTCCCACATATTTATTAAGCCCCCTCATAAATTCTCTCAACTCCCAACGCCTATTTTCCAACTCCCAACCTTCCTTCTTCTTCTTTATTCTATCTCTTTCCATCGTTTTTGTTGACTCTTTCCTTCTTCTTTATTCTATCTCTTTCTCAAATTATTTACTCTAATTAAAAGAATTTTCTAAAATTTTAAAATATGGAATTATTATATCTTAAATTCTAAAAACTCCTTTTAAGTTTAAACCTCAAAACCAACTCATCAAAAATTCAATAATACCTCAATATTTATAAATAAATAATCTAATCAAAACTTTAATAGTATAACTATCATATATATATTCACAAATAATAAATTTTTTAGCTACAATAATTATTTTAAAACCTCCAATCACCCAATAAATAAAACTAAACAGATTAAAATCTCAATAATATGTTAAACACCTCAAATAAATTATTTAACTTAATTTTAATTGGTGAAAATATTATATAAATTATATATAACAGATTTTTCAACTAGAAAAATTAATTAAGTGCTAAAAAACAACAAATGGATAAAACTAAACTGACTAAATTAACAATTCATTTACTTCTAAATTTCTATAGTCATTTATTCTCAAAACTCAAAACTTATCCGATATATAAGTCTCAAAATCTTCTTTAATCACTACGGTAATAATGTCAATAGGAAGCTTAAAATATATAGAAAATATTTATAAAGAAATTTTGATGAAAAAAATAATTTTGTGTACCTAAAATATCTTCAAAACTTATCTTTTCCTTCACCGATATGCTGCTCTTGCTCTTTCACACATACTATTCTCTCTTTCGCTTTCTCTCATGTGCCGGGGAAAATTGGATTGTGGGGAGTGTTATTTAACGCTCCCGCATATTTATTAAGCCCCCTCATAAATTCTCTCAACTCCCAACGCCTATTTTCCAACTCCCAACTTTCCTTCTTCTTCTTTATTCTATCTCTTTCCATCGTTTTTGTTGACTCTTTCCTTCTTCTTTATTCTATCTCTTTCTCAAATTATTTACTCTAATTAAAAGAATTTTCTAAAATTTTAAAATATGGAATTATTATATTTTAAACTCTAAAAACTCCTTTTAAATTTAAACCTCAAAACCAACTCATCAAAAATTCAATAATACCTCAATATTTATAAATAAATAATCTAATCAAAACTTTAATGGTATAACTATCATATATATATTCACAAATAATAAATTTTTTAGCTACAATAATTGTTTTAAAACCTCCAATCACCCAATAAATAAAAACTAAACCGATTAAAATCTCAATAATATGTTAAACACCTCAAATAAACTATTTAACTTAATTTTAATGGTGAAAATATGATATAAATCATATATAACAGATTTTTCAACTAGAAAAATTAATTTAAGTGCTAAAAACCAACAAATGGATAAAACTAAACTGACTAAAATTAACAATTCATTTACTTCTAAATTTTTATAGTCATTTATTCTCAAAACTCAAAACTTATCCGATATATAAGTCTCAAAATCTTCTTTAATCACTACGGTAATAATGTCAATAGGAAGCTTAAAATATATAAAAAATATTTATAAAGAAAGTTTGATAAAAAAAATAATTTTATATACCTAAAATATCTTCAAAACTTATCTTTTCCTTCACTGATATGCTTCTCTTGCTCTTTTACACACACTATTCTCTCTTTCGCTTTCTCTCATGCCGGGGAAAATTGGATTGTGGGGAGTGTTAAAATAACACTCCCGCACATTTATTAAGGCCCCTCATAAATTCTCTCAACTCCCAACGCCTATTTTCCAACTCCCAACTTTCCTTCTTCTTTATTCTATCTCTTTCTCAAATTATTTACTCTAATTAAAAGAATTTTCTAAAATTTTAAAATATGGAATTATTATATCTTAAATTCTAAAAACTCCTTTTAAGTTTAAACCCAAAACCAACTCATCAAAAATTCAATAATACCTCAATATTTATAAATAAATAATCTAATCAAAACTTTAATAGTATAACTATCATATATATATATTCACAAATAATAAATTTTTTAGCTACAATAATTATTTAAAACCTCCAATCACCCAATAAATAAAACTAAACAGATTAAAATCTCAATAATATGTTAAACACCTCAAATAAACTATTTAACTTAATTTTAATTGGTGAGAATATGATATAAATCATCTATAATAGATTTTTTAACTAGAAAAATTAATTTAAGTACTAAAAGCTAAAAAATGGACAAAACTAAACTGATTAAAATTAACAATTCATTTATTTCTAAATTTCTATAGTCATTTATTACCGGGTTAAGGTGCGCCCAACACCTCGAACTATTTTCCCAAGTGCACCCAGTGTCATAAAGTAATTTTTGATGCATCTAGTGTCCCAAGCTAATTAAAACGGTGCATCCATATCCCGAGTTAACAAAAAAGTTAAGTGTGACCATTATTTGCTGACTCAGCCGAAGGTTGACCGACGTGGCGGACACGTAGGCGTCTAATGTGTATTATTTTGACGGGCCAAGGTGCGCCCAGCATCCTGAACTATTTTTCCAGGTGTGCCCACTGTCCTAAAGTAATTTTTTATGTATCCAGTGTCCCAAACTAATTAAAACAGTGTGTCAACATCCCAGGCTAACAGAAAAGTCTCGTTTGACCGTTACCTTATTGACTCAGCTGAAGATTGACAGAAAAATCCTACATGACAGACACACAGACGTCTGAAGTGTATTATTTTGAC